ACCTCAGGGTCAAAAAGAATTTCTTAAACCAAGACAAAAAAGACACAAATTATTTTAAAAAATAAATAAAAGTTCAGTATACAGGTAGTCACCAACTTACCACATATTCGAGTTACAAGGAGCTGCACTTACAACAGTCTTTTTTTGTTTTGTTTTTTTGTACATCTTACTGTTAGGATATGTACTACATACAATGTTGCAGCACGTAACTTGCTGCTACTACCGTTCTCAGATGTTCACTGTTATGATTTACTGTTCAAAACACTGCCATATAGCAGGCTATGGCAATAATAATGAAAATTTAAAAAAATAAATAAATAAGGTATTCGACTTACTTCGGAACTGACTTACCACAAAGTTGTCAGAACAAAACCTCATTGTGAGTCGGGGACTACCTGTATATATATTTAAACTTGCACAATTAAAGACACCACAAATCATGTGAAAACAAAAGCCACACAGTATGGGAGAATATTGATAATGTATGTAACCAACAAAGGATCAGTATCCAGAATACAGGAAGAATTCCTACCAATACATGAGCAAGACAAGCCACCTAAGGGAAAATGTCCAAGATCACAAAGAATAAGGAAAATGTAAATTAAAACAATGTTTCAAATATCAGATTAACAAAAATATTAAATTACTAATATAAAGTATTGGCAAGAGAGTGATGAGCCTTCTCATATATTGCTGAGACTATAAATTTGAAAAATTTTTAAAAAGTTAATTTGTCAGTATCTATTAAAATTAAAACTGGGCATGTTCTTTAAGCCATCAATTATATTTATAGATATATATTCACATGTGCACAAAGATATTCTCTGCATCATTTCTTGGAATAGTGAAAAACTGTAAACCTCCTATATATCTGGCAATATGGTAATGGTTATATTCCAGGGTACAATGAAATACTATTCAGCTGTCAAAAGAAATGAAGTAAATTTATATGTATCAATACAGATTCTCTCCAAGATACATATGAATAGTTTTTTAAGTCTATTTATTATAAAGTAACATTGAGTCATAAAAGTATCTATGTACATATAAATAAATACATTTAAAAAAGTTATCCAAAGTAATAGAACAGACTGATATGCATGGTTACTATGTAGAAAGAAGACGGATGTAAGAGTGGTACAAAAGCGCTGACAGAGGTCTTTCATTTTTTTAGTCTAAATACATTCACATTGTTTTATTTTTTATCAAAAAAAGTATATTAAGTATTGCTTTGTCAATATTTTTAAATATAATAAAACAAAACTATAACTTAATTTATAAGAGAAAAATAAAATGGACAGAGGCTATTAGGGGATTAATTTCCAAAAGAAGAATCCCAAGCAGCAAAAAAAATGAAAAGATGCTCAAAATAACTGGTAATAAATGAAATGCAAATCAAAACAAAAGATAGCAATTTATATGCTTCAGATTAGCAATATTTTATTATAATACCAAGGCTGTGAAAACACGGAAGCCCTTAAACACTGCTAGTGGGAGAATAAATTGGTATAATCACTTTAACCATTTTCCAATAAAGTTGAAAATGCATACACCTAATAACTCAAACATTCTGTGGCTAAGGGTTATTTTCTGAAAGTGATTAGCCCAAAACTGGAAACAAATGTCCAACAAAAGGCAAATAGATAAATGCATCAATAGCTGGTGGCTTTCTGAATAAAAGCAATAAAAGAAAAATTTCTAGGCAATCTAATCAAGAAAAAAAGAAATCAATATTAGCATGGCCGAATGTTAATTGCAGAGAATTTTTTTAATAATAAGAAAATATTATGAAGTACTTCAAATTCATTAGAATTTTATAGTACAATATTTTGCACAGGAGCCCTCATGGCACAGTAGGTAAGAGCTATGGCTGCTAACCAAAAGGTTGCCAGTTTGAATCCACCACGCGCCCCTTGGAAACTCTATGGGACAGTTTTACTCTGTCCTACAGGGTCGCTATGAGTTGAAATCGACTTAACCATAATGGTATATTCTGCACTATTTTAAATTTGCATAAAAATATAATTTAAAACTTAAATTTAATTTTCTGAAAATATACAAAGTGTCAAAGTTAACTAAAATGAAGTAGAAAAACCTATACAGTGCAATAATCCTGGCTTTAAAAATTGTAAATCAGGCTGCATAAGGTCTCTGAATTTACAAAGGTAAAAACTGGAAAAATACTTGAAATAATTATTACAATATCCAAGCCATTAAATTTCCCCCTACTGGCCACGATCCACATATCCATCTGACTTTTATAAAAAGTAAGGCTTGCCTTAAAATAAAATCCAAACTCCTTAACTTGAGCTATAGTGTTCCAGCTGATATAACCCTCTGACCTCATCTATCTTCAATCTTCCTGTTCCTCTCTATGCTTAAGTAGCATCACTTTTGTTTCTTATAAAAATTTTGTTTGCTCTGTCTCAGGCTTGCTATTTGCCCTGCCTGAAATGGTCTTCCCCCATATTTTTATGAGGTTGGCTCTTTTTCATTATTTGATTCTCAGCTCATATAATACCTTCTCAAAGAAACCATCTATGACCATCCCTCCCAGAACTATGAAATGTTCTATTTATTACTTTCTGTAATAGAGTCTATTATATCATCCTATTTTATTTCCCTCACAGTACTTACCACTATCTGAAGTTTTCTTACTTGGTTACTTTTTATTGTCTACTTCACCTTATTAGAATGTAAAGTCCATGAGCATACAGGCTCTGTTGACTTTCATCTCCTGGGACCTCATTTAGTTCCATGGTTTAAAATTCGTTCCTTCTGTATGTTTACAGGAGCCCTGGTGGCACAGTGGTTAAGAGCTTGGCTGTTAACCAAAAGGTCAGCAATTCAAATCCACTACCTACTCCTTGGAAACCCTATGGGGTAGTTCTACTCTGTTCTATAGGGTCACTGAGTCAGAAGAATTGACTTGATGAGAGTGGGTTTGTTTGTTTTTTTTTGGGGGGGGGGGTATGTTTACAAAGGAGCCTTGGTGGCCACAATGGTTAGGTGTTCAGCTGCTACAAGGTCAGGTTTGAACCCAAAACCACCAGCAGGTCCTCGAGAGAAAAGACCTGAACATCTGCTCCCGTAGAGATTACCAAAACCCAAACCAAACCCGTTGCCATTGAGTGGATTCCAACTCGCAGCAACCCTATAGGACAGAGTAGAACTACCCCATAGGGTTTCCAAGGTTGTAATCTTTACAGAAGCAGATTCCCGTATCTTTCTTCCAAGGAGCAGCTGGTGGGTTCGAACACTCATTTAGCAGATAAGCACTTAACCACTGTGCCACTGGGGTCCTTAATCTCCTACCACTAATGGTGATTTATAGCTTTCTTGTATGTAATGATGAAGAGATTAATCTGTAAACGTCATTATAAACTAGGTTCTCTGCAAGAGAAATACCCAGATACGCACCTACAAAATACAAACCTAATAGGTGTCGTAGCGGAAAAAAGACCCCAGACTCAAATTTAATCAAAGGAGATTTTTATTAAGCCAAGACAAAGACTATTATTTGAATGAGGGAGATCATCAGGATGTACCCTGTAGAGAGACCAAAGGAATCCTCTGAATCACAGTTGCGTGTCCATTATATATTACAGGGGACAAAGAAAATCAGCACAAGGTCATGGTTGGTAGCAGGTCAATTTATCACTGTAGGTGGGACCGCAGAATCAGGGAAAGGACCATGACAATGAAATGTACATAATTACCAGGTTACAAAAAGTTACAGGATTGGTTCTGGGGTTTTAATTACCTGGCTATGTGGTGGCTGGGGTCCATTCATGATCATGTGACCACGAGTCATAGTCAAAAGGTGATTATAAGACAATAGCAGGGCCCCAACCTTTAACTGAAATCAGATAACATGCGTTATGAAGCATTTTTCTTTGTTTTACTTATTCTGTTAAAAAATCCGTTGCCCTCGGGTGGATTCTGACTCACAGTGACCCTACAGGACAGAGTAGAACTGCCCCATAGGGTTTCCAGGAGAGGCTGGTGGATTCCAACTGCCGACCTTTTGGTTAGCAGCCAAGCTCTTAACCACTGCACCACCAGGTACACTTATTTACTAGCCAGTGGAGAAACCTGTTGTGCCAGTTTTTCTATCACATAACTAGGGGAAAGGGAAATTGGACCTTATCCTAGCTTTTCTTACTATGGCCAAGCCCTATAAAATTTAGGGGGTCTCCACTCTCCAGATCATAAGGCTGCCTTATTCTCAAGGACGTTACTTAAAGTTCTAGTAAGTTCTGCAATATACAAAAGCATGACAGAATATCACAAACGTTAGGCGCTTGATTGCGGACCCTGAATTTCATAGAACTTCCGAAGGCAACATGGTGAAAGCCGACTTGTATAGTCGGTGGAGCCATCTAAAAACGGCGAAGAGTGGTAAGGCTTGCTCTCCAATAGATGCAAGGACAAAGAAACCACAAACCCAAGGTTGTGAAGAGAATACAAATTTAAATATTCATACTCTGCATGTCGATCAGGTGTTCGGGGCTGTTGGGTCCAGATGACCCTAGGGAGGAATCACTGTCAGGAGGTCCTCGGGAACTAACTGCTCCTGGCTGAAGCAAACCACCAGTTTGAGAGGACAAACGGCTTTTTGAGAGAAAGCTGGAAGCTAGGTTGTCTTCTTCTCAGCGAGTCAGGTCTAGCAATTTTGCCACCCAACCTGACCAACTCACCAGGTCAACCGGGCTGCAAATGCCTTCTGAGTTGGGAACACGGGTCCTGGAGCCAGTACAGTCCGACAAATTGCTACGTGGCCATCTGCTTTCAGACCGTTGCTAGGGAAACCGGGCAAAACTCTGAGTTCACCCCATGGTTTTCCCTGGGCAGACCTAGACGCTCCGGGGGCGTGGTTACAGGAGTGACGCACGGAAGGGGCGGGGCAGAGGCGAAACGAACCTGTAGGGACATGCTACACTCCCGAGCGCATGCGTACTGTGCTGCTGCGCCGGATTCTTGGGAGTCTTTAGCTGGCTGCGGGAGAAGTCGGCTATGGCAGCCGCGAGGGTCTCGCCAGACATATGCCTGCGAGAAGCCACCCAGCGAAAGTTGCGGATGTTTTCAGAGCTGAGAGGTACCAAAGGAGGAACCCGAACTTTCCTGGGCATGGAGAGGGAGGGTGCTTCCGCGCCAGATTTCCTGGACTGTTACTTCCTGCCCTCTCACCTACGGGCCTAGGACGCTGGCCCAAAACAAACAAACAAAACCTATTGCCGTCGAGTCGATTCTGACTCATAGCGACCTTATAGGACAGAGTAAAACTGCCCCATAGGGTTTCCAAGGAGCGCCTGGTGGATTCGAAGGGCCGAGCTTTTGATTAGCATCCATAGCTCTTAACCACTACGCCACCAGGGTTTCCTAAGGACGCTGGCCCAGGAATAGCTAATATTCCTTTTTTATTCTTCTATCACTGTACCTTATTTACGTTGTATTTGCTGTTTCCTTTCTTTAACTTTATTCCTAGTGATAACCAAACCCGTTGTCTTTGAGTGGATTCCGACCCGTAGCGACCCCGTAGAACAGAATAGAACTCTCCCTCAGGGTTTCCAAGGAGCCGCTGGTGGATTTGAACTGCCAACCCTTTGGTTAGCAGCGGAGCTCTTAACCACTGCACCAGCAGTGCCCCATTCCTAGTAACACAGGTATCAAAATAAGGAAGCAGGAAGGAGGGAAAAAAAGAAACTATTAACCTGGGAAGTGAAACTGTAAATCCTGGTTATGCATATGGTTAGCTCATTAGCAAAAAGTTATTTTAAATAAATCTAAAAGTTCTAAGACATAATGTTTAGACGCTTATAAAATAGATCTTATTTTTTTCCCTCCTGTGCTTCTCCAGCTGTTTCACCAGTTTGTTCTGTAATGTAAATGGTTACCAGTGGAAAAATAAGGGAAAAATCAAGAAACCATGGAAGAATTATAGATTAAAAAATAAAAGGAGGAAATTTGGTATGAAGAGTGTTTAAAAAACAAAAAAAACTATACTACTTGCCATTCCCTGTACAATTATTTAATAAAAGTTATATTGTTGATACAATGACTGAAAAATTACAGGGATGAATACTTGGAAGGCATTAAATTGTTCAAAACTATTAGATTCTAGCTGCCAAGTTGTTTGTTTTATAATAAAAGCTCTTACTCATCTAGTTTATCAATAAACAAGAGCATCCAACTGTCTACCAAAAATACAGTCTGTCTTTTAATGAGTTCATCAGAATTTTTCTGTTATCCAGAATATTGTGTCATATTCTAATAGCCTTTGTAATCTTGCGTGGTTCAGTGTAAGAAAAAACGAAGCACCCACGTTTATAAACAGCAACATTGAAGGATTGGATCCTTGTGTTGAATCTTTGTTAACCAACAAACATTAAATGGCCGTGATAGGTGAAATTTGATTTTCAAAGCTGGAGATTCATTTATTTATTCCTTTGTCCCATCTTCTTATTTCAGAATTGAAGCAGTAGTCAAAAGTACCTTGCTTAATCAAGAAACATAACATCCTTAAGAATTTCTAAATAAATGAGATTTTAGACCATGAAAACGCAAGTAAACTAAAAGACAGAGTAAAACTGTGGTCAATCTTCATTAGAACTATTTCAATCATACTTAAAACCCGTTGCTGTTGAGTGAGTCGACTCCTACTCATGGTAACCCGATGTGTGTCAGAGTAGAACTGTGCTCCATATGGTTTTCAGTGGCTTTAATCTTAGGAAGTAGATTGCCAGGTGGATTCAAACTGCCAACCTCAGTAAACAGCAGAGCTCAAACGATTTTCAATGCACAGGGATCTTTGATCATACTTGTTAGTTGCCATTGGGTGGATTCTGATTCATGGTAACTCTGTGTGTGCAGAATAGAAATGTTCCATTGGATTTTCAAGGCTGTGATCTTTTGGAAGCAGATCACTAGGCCTGTCTTCCGAGACAATTTATGGTGGATTAGAACTGCCAACCTTTGGCTAGTAGTTGAGTGTTTAACCATTTATGCCATCCAGGGGCTCCTGGATCATACTTATTCCCTAATTCTCAAAAGTAGAAGATACATCTATGAAGATGATAATAAATGTTACCTATTTTTTTCCCTTCTTTCCAAATAGGCAAACTTGTAACACCTAGAGAATTCTAAAAATTTTTATCATTTCTTTGCTTTTTCCAACCAGGCAAACCTGTAGCAGCTGGAGAATTCTGGGACATTGTTGCAATAACAGCTGCTGATAAACAACAGGAACTTGCTTATAAGCAACAGCTGTCAGAAAAGCTGAAAAGAAAAGAGTTACCCCTTGGAGTTCAGTATCATGTTTTTGTTGATCCTGTTGGAGCCAAAATTGGTATGCATTTTATGGCAAGATTTATAACAAGTTTTAGGCAGAGCAATCATTGAACAAGTCTTTCTGTGGCCTACAGTTGATAAATTGTATATCCTTCCATACATGTCCTCTACTAATACCTTTAAATTTTAATTTAACTTAAATTGACTCTTTTTTTAAGGAAAAAAAGGCATAACAATTTTTCATACGCATTGTGAGTTGTAGTGAGAACTTCCAGAGTGTTATTTAAAAGAAAATTAGTTTTAGTGACATTTACTCTACTCAGATAGTAAATATTCCTTTGGACCTTATGAGTAAAGCTCTTAAGGTTCCTCTTCACCCTGAAATTTATAAAGAAATTTACATAAAGGGAGCAAATCAGGAAAAATACATACTTGGCCTCTTGGGACCACAAGGTAGAATGTAAAAGAGCCCAGTCTAATGGCTTAAGTATCGTAGAATATTTACTTAAAAACCCCAGTTCAGGTCAACCTTGTCCTTTGACCTTGCATTTCAAATAAAATTTTCCTGAGGTCCATTTACTTTAAAAAAATTTTTTTTTAATTGTACTGTAGGTGAAGGTTTACAGAACAAATAGTTTCTCATTAAATAGTCAGTACACATATTGTTTCATGACATTGGTTAACAACCCCACGACATGTCAACACTCTCCCTTCTCAACCTTGGAGGACGTTTTTTTTCGTGAAAATATACATAGCTAAAGATACACCATTTCAAAAGTTTCTATGTGTACAGTCCAGTGTTGCAGTTGTGCTGCTATTCTCACTATCCTTTTCCAAATTATCCCATCACCATTGTCTTCAACTCACTGTCCCCTAGGCTTCCCATCAAATCTTTTGAGTTGCTGTTGTCAGTTTGATCTCACATAGATAATTCTTTTTTTGTTCTTCTTATACTTTAGATGAAGGTTTACAAAACAAAATAGTTTCTCATTAAGCAGTTAGTACACGTATTGCCCTATAACAATGGTTAACAACCCCACAACTTGTCAACACTGTCCTTATTCAACCTTGGGTTCCCTGTCACCAGCTTTCCTGTCCCCTCCTGCCTTGTAGTCCTTGTCCCTGGACTGCTGTGCCTCATTAGTCTCTTTGGCTGAACGGTGAACCTCAGGAGTGACTTCACCACTGAGCTAAAAAGGTGTCTGGGGGCCATACTCTCAGGGTTTCTCCAGTCTCTGTCAGGCCAGTAAATCTGGTCTTTTTATGTGTGTTAGAATTTTGTTCTACATCCTTCTCCAGCTCTGTCCAGAATCCTCTGTTACAATCCTGGTCAGAGCAGTCAGTGGTGGTAGCTGGGCACCATCCAGCTGTACTAGACTCAGTCTGGTGGAGGCCTTGGTAGCTATGGTCCATTAGTCCTTTGGACTAATCTTTTCCTTGTATTGTGTTCTTTTCACATTCCCTTGCTCCCGAAGGGATGAGACCAGTGGAGTATCTTAGATGGCTGCTGACAGGCTTTTAAGACCCCAGATGCTGCTCACCAAGGTAGAATGTAGAACATTGTCTTTATAAAATGTGTCATGCCAATTGAGCCAGATGATCCCCGAGACCGTGGTCCCCACAGCCCCCTGAAGGCCATTTTCCATGTGATACTCAAACCTGAAGCTCCTTGATAACAGGAGGTACTGAATCTGTGTTTCCAATTGGCGTTGTTCTAATTATGCAACATTGTTTTAATCCTCACGATTATGAACTCACTACTTTTATCATTCCCATGTTTAGAAGAGAAACTGGAACTTAAAATTTGTCCAAGGTTAGTGATAGTTACATGTAAGATTTTTTTTAAGAAACCAGTTCTAAAAAACTTTTTAGGAAAGAAAGCTAACTTGAGTATATGATTTTGTCATATGGGAGAATTATTTAAATGGGTTTCATTATTAATTGTTTATTTGTAATAAGATGTGTTTCTTTTGCTACTACCTTTGCTGTCTTTCTGCTTAGTTAATGGTAGTCAAAAGCTGTGTTCTTAAAGTGATAAAACCTAAATCTACCATAATTATGACGTTTTGGTAGCTTTCTATGAAATTGTGCTTTTTACTTTATTTTTAAGGAAATGGAGGATCAACACTTTGTACTCTTCAGTGTTTGGAAAAGCTATATGGAGATAAATGGAGTTCCTTTACCATCCTATTAATTCACTCTGGTAAAGTTATTCTTTACTCATTTACATTTTCTTTTGAGTATTTCACCACTGATACCCTAGAGAATTTTCTTTTTTCTTTAGTCTTTTAAGTTGTTCTGCTTTGAAAACAAATATGTCATGCTTTTCTTGGTATGTTTAGATTTTAAGCAGCATAATTTTATTCAGAAAATTTAAATATCCTTAAAATTGTAGATCACATACATCATCAACTTTTTAATGGAAGTTGCTTTTGGTATGTGTATAGAAAATTATTTTCCTAAGACAGAACCCATTAAAATATGGCCATTTCTTGGGAATGCTTTAGAGGGCATTTTTGTTGTGGGGAAGAGGCTGGTTCACCTCTGTGATGCCTAGACTTTCCCCTTAGATTTTTTGTCTTATTCTTCGTGGACAAAAGATATAACCCTTAAAGAGTTTTAAAAATAAAATGTAAAGTTTTAAAAATGAAAAGATGATGGCGAAACACAGAGTTGACAAGTAAGTACATAAGGGGGAAAACATGCATAAAAGAGGACATTCTGAAACAAAAAGTGGGAAAAACATACTCTCAAAGGATAGTCTTTTAAACTGAATAAATTTAGTTGTATGAAAAATTTGGTTATATGAAAACCTCTGTTATTTTTCTCTGTATATTAGGGGTTCGTGAAAATTTCTTCTTGGACTGGCACCAGTCCAGGGACAGATACTTTAGAACCACTCATTGACATGGCTTCCAAGGCACTTTCCAATTCTTACAATTCATATTTTTACAGAGCAATAATTCTTTATAAAGATGATGTCAAACTAAAATGTCTAAGTTTTAGGTTTAAGACTAACTAAAAAAGTTAAATGTATAGTTTTATTCCAGAAAAAGCATAATTACCAATTTAGGAAAATTTAAATTGGACACCAGAAAATTCACAGTTTGAAATAGATAATTCTTATAATGCTAAACTTTACTATTGACTAGTTTTCCAAAACAGAAAAGTAGAATATTAGCTTTCCTTTGTTGAACAATATAGTATGTGCAAAGTATTTAATATATATTATCGATCTCACAAAACATGATAAGTTAACTTATTCTACACTTGCTGATTTGGAAATTGCGATTTAATGGATAAGTAACTTATTCAAAGATAAACAACTAAAACATGGTGAACCAGGATTTTAACTCATTTTTGTTTAACTCATTTTACTACATCATGCTACTTTTCAGTATAATTATATTAAAATGATTTAAGATATTTAATTTATTTAGGAGAACAGAGTTTTCAAAAATTAAGAGGTTATTAGACTCATTTTTTTTTTTCTTAAATTGTTTAAATGAAGTTTACATTTCAAGTTAGTCTCCCCTACAAGATTTTGTACATGCATTGTTATGTGACCCTAATTGCTCACCCTATTCTGCGACAGCACACTCCTTCTTTCCACTTCTGATTCCTCATGTCCATTCAACCAGCTCTTAACCCTGTCTGCCTTCCCATCTCACCTCTGGACAGAAGCTGCCCCTTTGGTCTCTTGTATGTACTTGACTAAGAGGCACACTCTTCACGAGTATCACTTTATGTCCCACAGTCCAGAGTTAGCCTCAGAAATTGTTTTAGTTCTGGGCTAGTAGAGAATCCAGGGGCCGTGCTTTCCGGGGTACCTCCAGTCTCAGTCAGACCATTAAGTCTGGTCTTACTAGAATTTGAGTTCTGCACCCTGTCTTTCTGTTGCTCCATCCGGGACTCTCTGTGTGTTCCCTGTCAGGGCGGTCATTGGTGGTAGCTGGGCATCATCTAGTTCTTCTGGTCTCAGGCTGATGAAGTCTCTGGTTTATGTGGCCCTTTCTGTCTCTTGGGCTAATACTTGCCTTCTGTCTTTGGTGTTCTTCATTCTCCTTTTCTCCAGGTGGTTGGGACCAATTGATGCATCTTAGATGGCCGCTTGCAAGCTTTTAAGACCCCAAACATTAGGCTCGTCTTAAAGGAAGAAAAATTGTCTAAATTACAAACAAGCATAAATTTAAAATGCTTTTAAATAAATGTATTTTTATTTCCTTTAAATGTATGTAGTAATTAGAGGAAAGACACCGTATCTGGAAATTACTATTTAATAGATAATTATATTTTTGAATGATATATCAGTTTTTGTAACAACTTTTTTTCCTATAAAGTAGATCCTTAACATTGGAGTTTAAACGTGGTTGTAACTTATTTAAAATGTAGATACTAGATCATGTTTTAGCCCATGGTCCTTTACACAAGTTAATACGTTGACTTGAAGCAATTCATAGGCACTACAGTACGTTAAAATTGTTTCCTTTTTAGAATCTTTATAACTGTTATATCAAATGGTTACAGAAAAATTACACTTTGAATTTATAATCCGGAATACATTATTCTCTTCTGAGTTACATAGTACATATTATATATCTTTTGAGATATTTTGAGTTGTAACTGATGCTGCTGGGTTTTTAAAATTTTATAAACAATAATAAATTTTTAAATGGTTATTTTGTTTGTTTAATTTTATAGGTGGCTACAGTCAGCGCCTTCCTAATGCAAGTGCTCTGGGGAAAATTTTCACTGCTTTACCTCTTGGTAACCCCATTTATCAGATGTTAGAATTAAAATTAGCCATGTACATTGATTTTCCCTCACATATGAATCCTGGGATTCTGGTTACCTGTGCAGATGATATTGAACTTTATAGTCTTGGAGAATCTGAGTTTATTAGGTTTGACAAGCCTGGCTTTACTGCTTTAGCTCATCCATCTAGTTTGACTGTAGGTACCACCCATGGAGTATTTGTCTTAGAACATTTTGATCACTCAGAACATAGAGACCTTGAGTACAGGTGTTGCTATCGTTTCCTTCATAAGCCCAGTATAGAAATGATGCACCAATGTGATGCTGTGTTTAGAGCCGGAAATTTTTCTCAACAGGACTTTGCTGGGGATAACACACCTTCTCTTAAATTAAACACTGAGTATGTCTACACTGACAGCCTATTTTACATGGATCATAAATCAGCAAAAAAGTTACTTGCTTTTTATGAAAAAATAGGCACGCTGAACTGTGAAATAGATGCATATGGAGATTTTCTGCAGGCTTTGGGACCTGGAGCAACCATGGAGTACACCAGAAACACATCAAATGTCACTAAGGAAGAGTCAGAGTTGATAGATATGAGGCAGAGAATATTTCATCTTCTCAAAGGAACATCGTTAAATGTTGTTGTTCTTAATAACTCCAGATTTTATCACATTGGAACAACTGAAGAGTATTTATTTCATTTGACATCAGAGAGCAGTTTGAAGTCAGAGCTTGGCTTACAGTTCATGGCTTCTAGCATCTTTCCAGCAATACCAGAATGCTTTGGTAGAACTTTCTGTGTCATTCAGAGTATACTGGATTCAGGATGTTCTGTGGCACCTGGCTCAGTTGTGGAGTATTCCAGATTGGGACCTGATGTTTCGGTTGGGGAAAACTGCATTATCAGTGGTTCTTGTATCATAACAAAAGCTGTCCTGCCTGCATATTCTTTTGTGTGCTCTTTAAGTTTAAAGATGAATGGATACATAAAACATTCAACTATGGCATTTGGAGTACAAGACAACTTAAAGAAGAATGTTAAAACATTGTCAGATATAAAGTTACTTCAGTTCTTTGGAGTCTCTTTCCTGTCATGCTTAAATATTTGGAATCTCAAAGTCACAGAGGAACTGTTCTCTGGAAACACGACAAGTTTAAGTTTGTGGACTGCTCGCATTTTCCCAGTCTGTTCTTCTTTGAGTGATTCAGTTACAACATCCTTAAAGATGTTAAGTGCTGTAAAGAATAAGTCAGCATTTAACCTCAATAGCTATCAACTGTTGTCCATTGAAGAAATGCTTGGCTACAAAGATGTAGAAGACATGATAGCTTATAGGGAGCAAATTTTTCAAGAAATTAGTTTAAAGGAAAAGCAATCTGATTTAGAGACATTTTAAATGTTATATACTTTACCTTTCATTGAGCAAGACAGCAAATACAGGAGTTTTCTGTAGACTTTTTTTTAATTTGTTTCACTGAAGTGAACTAATGAAATTTATTTTAACACCATTACTGTAGCATAACATTAATAAAGCACAAATATTGATAAGCCATTTTTGATGCGTTAATATTTCAAGGCAGTAAATTCAAAAGGTGTGCTTTTTTTTTCTTTTGAGTATGTATCACTACTTTAATTTTTCCTTTTAAAATGAGTGGATTTGTGGAGCATTATTTGGTTCATGTAATACCATAATAGTTTTAATTATTGGTAATTTTCACCACAAATTTAGTCCTGTTTAGATGAACTAATAAAAATGGTATGCTATAGGGTCTTCAGAAACAAATCCATAGCTGACAAATTCAGACTAAGTCAATGCTTAACAAACTGTGATTATTTTAATAGATAACTAGATACAAGCAGTTTTGAATTTAGTGTTAAATTTTGTATCTCTTATTTATTCATCTTATCAAAATGAAAAGAATGTATATGTTATTTTATGCTTATGAACTTGAAGATGTGCTTATATATCTTACCTATTTTCTTTAAAATTTTCTTTGAAGTTCTATTCCAATGCATACATATACACAGTTATTTCTGTGAGGAAAATGATAGGAATAATTTGAGAGTTACTGATAATCATATAACTTCATTTTGGCCATTACTCTCATTCTCTCCTATTGACCCCTTTAACAGAACTGTTAAATTGCCAGATGGACCGATTTTACTTTTCATCTTTATTTTTTGTCCACAGTGGTAATGATGCTGAGGAGCAATAATTGTCTAAAAGTTAGACAGCAGGAGGGAGACAGTAGAATAGAAAGACTTAGAAATGTGCAGTTGATGAACATTGGAAAATAAAAATTGGCTAGAACTTCAAGTTATGTGTTCCTGTTTTGGTATAAGCACATATGTAAAATGTCTTCATAACAAAGTCTAATAATTATCTAGAGATAAGATTTGTCAGTGTTTTGTGTTTTAAATTAACATGGGTAAGTTGAAATAAGAACTAGTTCTTATTGCATATGTAAATATTTACATATTACCTTGTCAATATGAGAATAATTGTTTGGTAAACCAAAAGTGACTTGTCTTTGGCCCTCAATTATGTTATTTATATGAGTTTTTTTTTATCCTCATTATTCTGGATTTTTCTTAAAAGTAAAAATATATGGTAGTTATTGTTTAACATTTATGGATCATCAATTTGCAGAGTTTTCAGGGGATGTCATGTGTTTGTCATTCATTAAATGTCCAGTACTGTATTTTACCTAATTTAAAGTGCCGTCAATGACATGATTCACCCTTAAGAAAGAGAAAACACTGCCAATAAAATACGACATAATGCTTTCTTTGTTACTTGGAATTTTTATTTTATATTTATTGAAGATCTCTTTTACATATATCTAGATATAGATTCTTGTCATTATCACTGTGGCATACACATATAATGAAACAAAAAATGAAATACTAAAGTATAGTCAAGACATTTCTAAACTTCACATTCAGAGTCAAACTTTTGAATACTCAAAGTTGTTGATACCCATGTGTTTCCACCCAGTGACACCTTCTATGCTCCAAATATATTGGTAAGGCTGCATTTCCTAAGAGTGACCCACCAGACTACTATCTAGATTTTCCTCCAAGCTACAGATACCTGTTCTGCACATTCTGATTCTGATGCTTCACTCTTTAACAAAACCCAGTTTCATTATTTGACTCAGTTTAATCATGTGTCCCTAAAAGGTAGGTGGCTTCTATTCAAAGTCAGCAGGAAGTTTCTGAAAAATTAATACTCAAGTGTTTTTTAATCATAACCCTGCACAGTGCAAGAATTCTGGTTGCTTTGAAATGTTATCTGTTACTAAGGATTGGGCAGTGTCTCTTACCTTGAGTTGCATTGCTTGGTGTCTAGTATGATATATGCACCACCAACAGCGCACCTAACTCAATTGAGGTGACAATAATATGCATGGCTATGAACAAGTTCACATATGAGCAGACAATAACAACTCCATGACTATTGCTTCCTGGCTAATAGTTATCATAAAATACTGTCAACTGTAAGACACATTCTCTTCTCAGAGATACTAAAATGTGGAGGGAAAAAAAAAAGGGTGAATTAGAGCAAATAATTTCTAACCTAGCTATGATTTAGAATCAACTTGATGGGAACAGGTACAGGATAGGTGTATCTTATTAAGAAGTTCTGAGGCATGGTCAACATGGTGGAGTACTTTGACACTTCCTATATCCCTTTTACAACAAAGACATGGAAAAGCAAGTGATTTTATTCTATATGAATATCTAGGAGCCCTGAACAAGGCAAAATTGAGAAATCCGTCTGAGTGATAGGGGAGAGGAAGACCATTTGGAAGAAGTGAAGAGGGCCAGAGCCGCGGTGGCGAGACTGCAGTGCAACAGCCACGCCAGTCTGCAGTGAAGCAGGCAAATAGCTGTGATGTGCATCCGCTTGGGAAGCAGTTTCCACATCGAGAGAGACCTGGCAGCAGAGATTCTGCTTGGACACACTGAACCAGTAAAAAGCAGCTCTCGAGGCTAAGACAAGTGCATGCATGCACCCTTTTGTAGGGATTAAAAAAAAAGAGCCCATTTGAGAAAAACCACTCTCCCTTTTACCTCCTCCCTCCGCACTCTGCACCGGGAGTCGGCTGGGCTGGAAGTAGATCCGAAAAGGCACCCTGACCCATTCTCTTGGACTTGGAGAGGGAACAAATAAGCTACTGGCTCCCCTAAGCCAGGAACACAGGGTTGGCACAGCTCCTTTGCTAGACACAGGCATAAGGGGCCCGCAGACTCTGAGTGCCTTACACCCCTGTATAGACACGTGGGGACCCATCTCAACAGCGTTAGTTGTCATTACCACAGTACAACAGGGCAAACATCTGAAGTTTAACTTCAACTGCTTCAGCTGTGAACTGGCAGATTTGTGACCCTCGAAACAGCCCTGCCCCTTAAGTAGGCACTTTTATTGATCTGCAACAGGGGCTTGAGGACTGGTGGGATCACCTAAAGCTCCTAGTCACCTGCTACAGGAGTCCAAGAAAAAGGGTGCCCTCGAGTCTTTACAGCCAACAGAGTGGGGTGCTCATAGTCCGGCTGCAAAACTCACCTACTTACTCACCCTAGAGAATAGGGACACGCTTTCCTTTCAGACTCTCAGGGGCAGCCGTCAACCCCCTGCCTGGCTCAGCGTGTGATCCCCTGCCACAGCCAGAGTCCAGTGCCTTCACAAATCACCCCTGCCTCTCTAGGACTGGGGGTGAGAGCCTGAATCACACAGTTGGTGACCGACTACCTGAAAACCGGAGCTGAACCCATATAGGAAAACTTAATGGACTCCTGTGTGCACATACTTAGTTACAGAACTAACTACCTGGTGATAGGATGTTAGAGATCCGAAGGTGTCAAAAATCAGACTAGTGCACACGAGCAGCCTATTTGGGCATATCAAAACAAAACAAAATAGGCTAGGTTGCACTAGCAAATACAAAATAAAATCATAGTAAATTATTGATGGCTCGGAGACAACATTCAGTATCAAGTCACATAAAGAGGCAGTCCATGATGGCTTCAGCAAGCTCCCAAAATAAAGAATACATTCTCTGGAGGAAGAGAACTTGGAATTGAACAGGAAGGATACAAAAGATTGATATACAGAACTCTTCTAGAAATTAGAAAGGAAATTCAACAAAATGCAGAAACAGCCAGGGAACATACAGACACAGTAGTAGCAGAACTTAAAAAAATAATGCCAAATTTAATAGGCTGCAAGAATCCATAGAGAGACAGCAATCAGAAATCCAGAAGATTAACAATAAAATTTCAGAATTAGACAACTCAATAGAAAGTCATAGGAGCA